CGCCCTTTTATTTTAATGTAATGGCATTTGAATGAGTCATTTAAGTGATAAAATTTATTCAAATTAAATGCATGGAACTAAAAATAAAATGTTTAGCTGAATAGACCATTTTCCGTTCACTGCGAGAATCACGCGTTATGCGTGAAATCGAACGTAAAAACAGGACAAACAAAGGTCATAGCGTTGTAGTGGCGTCAAACATTGCGTGGGATTCGACAAACGCGAAAGTATTTTGGCGACATTTCCATGCTTAATAATGTGCTGTCCACATTTGATGATAGGCAATTTCGATTAAGTAAGGATATTCGGAAGCAATATTCCTCTGTCGAAGATCGGCCGGTCGGTGTGAGCTACGAAATAAGGAAATTCGAGTTCAAAATCAAATCGTTCGATTTTTGCGGCAGACGTTCGACGCGCGTCTTTCATGCATCTCGCGAGATCTCGCAATTGTACGGAAAATCAATTATTATCAAATGGAACCACGTGGATAGGAAAACCGACTGATTACAAATACAGATTACAACGAATAGATCAATATAATAAAATACTGAACAATGTTAAAATCAGTTCAATAATCTTGGCAAGGCACAGAATTGGACGGGAACGTCAATCTGATTCACATGCAGCTGACTAATACGAATGAGCCGTTAAGCCAACTTTTCAAGCGATGACCTCGTTCAACTACAAAGTTAAATTGTCAATTGTAAAGAGCTATTTAACGTCATTGTGTATATAAGCATTGGTTATACGACATAACGTTCGCATTTGTCACTGTCCCATGAAAGAGAAACGAGGGCAATGACCCCACTTACAAATAAATTAGTCTCAGCGGAGTAATTGCCTGAAGGTGCATCACAATACAATTAGATTTTACACAGGCGACAAAATTAAGAACATCTTCAAAAGCAGGGACATTTTTAGACATGGGGAAAATGATTTGGACCACCATTTTGAATGTTATAAAACAGTATTTTTTTTAAATAAATAAAAGGTAATCCTCAATGTCCAATGCAGCAAAATCAACTACACTGGTCACGGTACTGGGAGTACTAGTATTAAAAACAAGTTCACTCACCTGTAGTTGTATCACTCCACCATTTGAAAACTAGTTCCGGTATTACATTGAATTATACAGTTTAGAATAAACAATAGTATTTCTTGCAACAAGCTGGTTCAATTTTGAAAATAAAGGAATTACATTTGTGTATATCACGTGACCTGGTGCGAAAAGATATATATTCTGTATGTCGTCCGAACAGTTATGTGCAATGTAGATCAAGGTGTGATAAAATTGATGGCATATACTAACTGGGTTTACTGGAAGAGTTCTTGATCAGGCACGGGATCAGACAATCGATTCTTTTGGTCGACCAATCACGTGAGTGGACCCCTTAAGTGACGTGAATTGAGAGCGTGCATCTTATAGAGAATAACTTTACGCTGTTTGTTTGTTCTCAAATTCCCAGTTTTAAATTGCACAAATTTTCTCGTTGCCACGTCCGATTCCGCCATATTATTATCAAACCGTTGTAAATACGATCTGCGGCGTGCTAATACATATTTTTTTTTTGTATTTCAGGTTTCTTATGTTATGCCGAACTAACTCTGACCATCGACAACGACAAGACAGGTTTTATTGGCCAATCAGATATTACGTTATATTGTGAATTTAGCGGTGCCCCGGAGGCTGGCGAAGGTTTTGTGGTTGATTGGTACAAAGCGGACGAGTTGTTAGAAGGCGGTTGGGACCAGCTTGCTAGAGGTGGCGAAGGAACTGGCGTGGTTCCTATGGTCTCCGAGGACAACAAGTAAATATTGTTTTAGCAATCGCATACGTGCTTTCGTTGAATTACTGGTACTCTCTATCCATTCGATGCGCATGCGCATTTGTAAATGATGTCAGCAGTCGTTAGGATAGGAACCCGGCGATTTTTTTCCCATCATGCTTATATACAACAAGTGACTAGGGGTTGTCCGAAATGAGATTGCACGTAGCACTTAGAGTTATTATGTTATGTTAAGTTTCCTTGAAGTTGAACATTTTTTCTCTCTCTTTAGGTACGTAATAATAAATACAGCGTCTCTGAAGATTTTGTCGTTGGACGAGGACGACGCGGGCGTATACAGATGCACTGTGACGGTTCTGTCTCCGCTCCAGACAGCTTCTGAGGAAGTCGCGCTTGACGTCGTAGATGGCAGCATGTATCCTCATGATGACGGTAGTCAAGAACAAGCATCAAACACAACGGTCGTAGATGGCGCTGTTCACATTTCGACGAACATCTTTTACGTCACTGCAGCGATTCTGTTTAGTATATTTGGATTTTTTGCATCGTAGTGACTAGTTGAAGGCAGTGTATATTTATAAAGGACTACTACACAAAGGAGTTATACCACCGTTTATGGATATACCATGACACTTTTAATTTAAATAAGTTTATAAGCTACAGGGTCGATAACAAACTCGAAATGACTTTATTATTATCTGTTGAACGCGAACGCAATGAACTTGAAAGAATACATAAAATATTCGTGGTTAATTCGAAGCATATACATACAAGGCAGAATTTTATACATCGAAACAAGACCTGTCAACAAGCTGCTCTCTGATTGGTCTCAATATTCGGTTTTAGGGTTGGTTAACCAATCAGGTAGCTTCGCATTGGCTCAGAATTCGTATCGGTGTTAACACCGCCCTCAAGCAGAAAAGGACTTGTCAACAAGCTGCTCTCTGATTGGTCTGACTATTCGGTTTTAGGGTTGGTTAACCAATCAGGTAGCTTCGCATTGGCTCAGAATGCGTATCGGTGTGAACATCGCCCTTAAGCAGAAAAGGGCGTACGTGTCAACGAAAGGATTGGTACACGGTCGTTTATGTTAAACGGCTGCTGCAATTTCAAACCATGTCAGATTTGCCTTCACATAACTTCTGGAAGGAATACCTGTTTGTGTCAGCTATATTTTTACGTGTCGGGGCTCAGGTTTTCTAAGATGATTTTAAACCGTCAAGGGAAAGCATTTTACCGTTGATGGCGCTATACAAAGCGATTAGTATAGGAATGCAAATTTATTATAAATATTTATAAATTTTTTATCAAGCTACATCAAAATCATAAGAAGAAAGTTTCTTTAGTTGAACCAGACCTTTACTCAATCAAGACCGATTTACTCAGAGCATAGGTCTCATCATCACCACAATGACAATTAAAACCCTTCAAACTAATCTTTTGGAGATATATTTTTCGAATATTACAAGTAATGGTAATATTGTCACTACAGTTTGGTACCTAATATTTAAAATGTTAAATATATCCATGCAGGGGAATTGTCACGATGGGTCAAAGGTCACATTCAACGTGAAATGCTGGCGGTATTCATCCGCGGTAATCATCTATGCTGTGGTCTGTGATTGGTTAAATTTGTTGTTTACCATCATTTGAAATGTATGAAACATTTATGAATACTTTATATAAAAAAATCACGCCTATTCTAAACGCTAATTTGATTTTGTAAATAACATTGATGTTTATTTGTTCGTAATTTCTTTATTCAATTTTTAGATTGGTTGATTTGTAAGCTTCTCGCTAACAGTTATTTCAATATCAAAATTCCCATAGATATTCGTCTCTTACAGAAAGTACCAGGATGTGTGGGTCTAAATAAATACCAGGATGTATGAGCTGTATGGGTCTAAATAAGTACCAGGGTGTGCGACCCTTAGGGGTCAAAATAAGTACCAGGATGTGTGACCTTTAGAGGTCATAAATAAGTACCAGGATGTGTGACCTTTAGAGGTCATAAATAAGTACCAGGATGTGCGACCCTTAGGGGTTATAACTAAGTCCCAGGATGTGTGACCTTTAGAGGTCATAAATAAGTAACAAGAAGTGTGTCCTTTGAAATATATATATCCGCTTCTCCAAGCGGTTTGTAAATACAACTGGAAATGAAGATTTATGTTTAAAAGTATTTTTGAATTATTTTATTTTACACAAACACTGCCTGTTTGTTTTGTCATCCTAACTACACAGCGATGTTAATTCTACCATTTTTCTTAGGGTTTGTGTTTGTATTGATTTGTTTAAAATTTTATTCATGTTTTGGTTATGCCGACCTAACTTAGTCGACAGGTCGTGCATTTTTAAGCTGTGTTATTTTTCAGCATGTTTACTTGTTTAGAAAACTGCTATTTACTTGATATAAAATACATTCTTGCCAACCATTCTTTGTTTTATTTGTATAATTATAAAATAATCGACACTTTGAATTTTATAATTAAGGTAAAATTTGAGTACAGCAAAGTGGGAACGCTCGCCTCTGTGTCCCTTCAAATCCACCACTGCACAACTCCCATAAGCGAACACGTGATAATCAACCCAATGCAACTAATTTAGCGTTATTTACTATATCCATCTTGAATACGACAGTTTATTTATATCACGTTTCATTCTCTAGATATTCAACTTTTCACCAGTATTATGTATTCCACCATTTCGGTTCTCAGCAAAGGAATATGAATAAAATATGACATCATATTCACTGTTGTGAGAAATTGAGAAAATTATTTCGTCTATAACTTCAAAAGTTGTTTTTCAATTTGACTGAAAGTTTAGAACATGGTAGCACATACATGTACTGGTGCCAAACATGCCTATACAATTTCTTGGCAACAAAACTGATAATATTCATTTTTGTGTTGTTCTACCAAATGCTCAAATTTCCTAATACTTTATACAATTTATTGATGCAAGTAGGTTATATAGATGGTATATAAATCTGTTGGCCACAAAAAGGGGACTAAAAAGTGTCATTATATTTTTAACAACTAAAATAATGATTTTAATTTTGTTACATTTGTGGCAATATCTTCACTTTATGTGTATTTGTGAAATTCTAATTTCCATTACTATGAGTATATACATGAGTTATATGCACACCGCAAATTTTAACTAATTCGCATCAGTATTTCTCACGTTATAGATGAAAGCATTTTCTCAATTTTTCACATCAGTGGATATGATGTCACACTTTACCCACAAACAAGATGGCGGACGACATAGTATTGGTGAAAAGTCGAATATCTGGAGAAAGAAAAGTGATTTACAAAAACTGTTAATTGCATTCTTCTACATTTGTGGAGCTCTTTCCTTGGGGAGCATCATGTTGTTGGGCTTGACTTCCTCTTTAAGCGGTATTCAAGATGGCTGCCCCATATAGTAAATATCGGTAAATTAATCACACCTGTAAAGCTAACACTGCATGAATGTCACTGCGCCATTACAAGACCGACTGAGTTGTTCTTCCGTTCAATCAGCAAATCAAACATAAGTTGTAATCACTCAAGGTTCATTTATTTTAGAAATTATCCTAAATTAGATTTCAACTGTGAACACATGTCTTGATGCTTAAAGTAGGTTGTTACCGCGAGCATTCACATTCAATACGGTACAACCCTGTCAAGAGGCTCCAAAATATAAAGACACCGTGACCAAACCGTACTTTTACCCCGATTAATACAATGACTCAACATCCCAGAATATAGAGCCTCAGGCCGACACGTCTTACAATCTATGTCTGGTATACGAACACATACCCCATTGCATTATATCACAGCACAGTATTAAAACGGGGGAGTTGTCACCTGCGCATGCGTCAGATGGCCATAGCGTGTCATTGATTACAAACAAGCGTCTACCCATTAGCCTTTGCATTCTTAGCGGGGTAATATATTTTGGAGGGCATGCCCCACCGTCACTTAATATATAATTAGGACCAGGCGTTGATTGACAAACAATCTTTACAAATCATAGCAGACAGTTGTGCTGCATGGGAGGGTTATTATATTTTGGAGGGCATGCCCCACCATCACTTAATATATAATTAGGACCAGGCGTTGATTGACAAACAATCTTTACAAATCATAGAAGAGAGTTGTGCTGCATGGGAGGGTTATTATATTTTGGAGGGCATGCCCCACCATCACTTAATATATAATTAGGACCAGGCGTTGATTGACAAACAATCTTTACAAATCATATGAGAGAGTTTGCTGTATGGGAGAGGTATTATATTTTGGAGGCCATGCCCACCGTCACCTAATATATAATTAGGATCAGGCGTTGATTGACAAACAATCTTTATAAATCATAGGAGAGAGTTGTGCTGTATGGGAGGGGTATTATATTTTGGAGGGCATGCCCCACCATCACTTAATATATAATTAGGACCAGGCGTTGATTGACGAACAATCTTTACAAATCATAGGAGAGAGTTGTGCTGTATGGGAAGGGTATTATATTTTGGAGGGCATGCCCCACCATTACTTAATATATAATTAGGACCAGGCGTTGATTGACAAACAATCTTTACAAATCATATGAGAGAGTTTGCTGTATGGGAGAGGTATTATATTTTGGAGGGAATGCCCACCGTCACCTAATATATAATTAGGACCAGGCATTGATTGACAAACAATCTTTACATTCTTAACAATATTGCGGAAACCAGATTTGTGGAAAGTATTCAGTTTCATACATGATCTACATTCTACACATGTACTCCTACATCTCATCACCAACCACCGCGCTAAATTCATACACCGTATACTTAACGTCTTCAAGAATAAAAATTGCATAAATATAACGAGTCAAATTGAAATTATGCTTGCTTTTCCAAATTGAATTATGTAGTTTATAGTTTTGATCATGGCAAGAATTTATGTCTAGTCAGTGACTAATAAAATACGCTATATACTACCAGTATACTAATATGGGAATATTACTGAATACTCCATTTTTTTTAGAGAATTGGGCAAGATTTCATCATCTACAAAGTTGACCCTAAGTGAGGTATAATACCCAATGTCATTAAATGGTGGTAAATCACACTGAGAGATTGTTCATCTGATGCAATAGTGTGAGAGCAAAAATTCAATCAAAATCCAACAGTTACATATTTTTTTATTTCTGAACTTCAAATAGTAGCATTGTATATGTTAATATATTCATTAATCTACATCAATTATCTGAGAAATGGATGCAAAAGTAATTCCTAATTTATAGATTTGCTGACAAGTTGAAACCCTTACAAGTTGCATGATTTATCTACAGAGTACTTTGACATAAATGAGTATAATAAAATGGTCTGGATATTGTCTTGATATGTCTATCAAATTACAGTTTGTTATATTCAAGATTATAAACAAGTACAATCAAACAATCATAGTTTTGAATAATGTTGCTTTCACCACCTACATCATCATCAAGTGTTACAGCGCGACTTGTATAAAAGACTTATTACATCTTCTTGATTCCAAGAAATTACAACACAATGTAATAATGAAAATAAAAATAACCAATACAAAACAACAATTTTTTTTTTAGTTATACTTTTCTATATTAACCCTTTAAAATAGTTAGTTATTAAAATAGTTAGTTATTAAAATAGTTAGTTAAAATAGTTAGTCAAACGTAAGGCCAACAACAAAACCTGATCAAATCCTGTAGCCATTATAGTATGTTGTTATATGGTATAAATGTATGGTTCAAAATAAATTGAAAAAAAATCACAAATTTTTGCTGGAAAATAATGGCATTAATACTAAACTGGATATGGTATATTTGACATAAATGCTGAAAAATAAGCAATATCTGTAATTCACAAAATAACAATGTTTCTCATGGTTGCACACTTTATTTTTTTGTTGTTATTACAAGTGTAGTAAAAGACCCCCTGGGTGTATGCCAGGACGTGACATTAATGTCTTTATTGTATCAAAATTGGGGTGGGCTTTGCCCCGGCATGAGCGCTTACCTGGATAAATACGGAAACACTAAACTGAATATGCAATAGCTGATTTTGCACTTTTTTTTATAATAGAAACATAATGACTTTAAGAAAAGGTTTAGAACTTTCAAAGACAATGTGGATGACAAGAATCATTATGTTAAAAAAAAAATGACATAGTAAAATAACTGCCTAAAACTATATAAGTGAATTTAAGTTGATTTGATACCTCTTCTTGTGCATGGTATCTATGCACTCAGGGGAATCCAAAACTGGTCTATTCATTATTTATAAAAAAATAAATAAAAGTTTTGATGAAATACACTTCTAATACTTAGATATTCAATCCCTCAAATAATACTGCATCGACTGTATTAATCTCAATGTCCCTTGCAGAATGATATAACATGAATTGTATAAACATTCCGAAATAATGGTGCAGTAATGTACAAGGAAAAATACACTCGCCATTTTATTTTATTTTATACTTGTTCCCATTGTCAGTAGTATTTCTGTCAAGTTTGACCCCATATATTGAAAATTAAACTTAATTGACATTTATAATAGTGACTGATAAGATTCCCAAATTTGAAGATGATCTGATAGTTATTGTGAAATTAAACCAAAATACTGAAAAATATACATGGAACCTGGACCATAATAAAACTTGGCGGAGATATTAGACTGATTCATATACTGTGAAATACTTTATTTTAGCCGGAATTACGATATAAAAGATTTTATTTTCACTGAATCAGTATTCCAACGAAAAACCTTCCAAGCCGAAAGTAATAGTAAAGTAATATCCAAATTTGATAGAAATTTGATAACACTCAGTTATTGTAGCTACAAGAAAATGTTTATAACAGTCAATGACAACAGCAATCAGAATAGACATTTCCCTCTCACATATCTTGCCCTTCATCTACGATGATATGAAAAAGTTCTCGTACACTAAATAGTACACGACAGAATATAATCTGTTCAGAATAAAAGAAATATGATTCAAGAAGGAAGTTTCTGACAATGTTCTTCACAACACCACCATATTTTATCCCCACATGCTACAGGATATAACGCTCCAAAACTTTCATTTTCATCAATCTTATTGAGAAACTGTGAAAATTCCCGTCGAGTGTATTTGGGCTTGTCTGATTTTAAGACAATAACGTTGGTTGGTTCTGGTTCATCCATGGCATCAGCTAGATTGGGACAGGTTGCTTTGAAATCTTTCAAAAATGCTGACAAAAGTTGTGATGATTCGTCAGCTGCCATTGAAACTGATTCAGCCACTGGCAGTACCGGAGTCACCAAATGTGACAACTTAGCAAATACTCGTAGGAGTCTCACTATGTGTTTCCCATACTTTTCGATGAATGGTTTTACATTGTGAATCCTATAGCCTGGTGAGCTTAAGAAATGAGGCTTACCGTAATTCTCGCAAAGTAAATGGACTGTATAGCCATCACGAAAATGCGAATAAATTTTCAATTTGATCTTGCCCAACAGAGACAGATTTCCTGAATTGATTGGTAAAACAGCAAAAATACTTGGATAGTCCGTGTCTTTCGATGCCATTGCATTACTAAAACCAGGATTTACAACTTTAGGTTGGGAAACTCCAACACAACACAATAAATCATTGTGATCCTTAAATTTATGTCCTTGAAATGACTCGCAGAAATAACCCCCATGAGATTTTGTCATATAACCTGGGTCATACTTACTATCTATTAGACAAAATGAACAAGTCAGGAAACACTTTGGATTCAAAGCTCTGTAAGTTGAATCATTTATTGCACTGTCAATCATGTCTTTAAATACAGGAACAGTGCAACAAGGATGGTCACCCCTCACTGTTAAAAGAATAAAGTTTAAATGATAGATCAGCTCGAACCGAACATGACAGTCTTCTTCGGATTTTTCAGCTCTAACACACTTGCCACATGGCTTGAAAGTAATTGATGTCTGAAAAACTACATTGTTACGCGTAACGAAAGGATTCCTTCTAGTTCCGTTACTGATAACATTTACTATGACATCACAGAACAGCAAAGGTGGTAAACATTCAAATTTATACATATAGCTGATTTGCTTTTCTTGACCGACTGGAAATGGTGGCCAGTTTTTGAAGCATGGTTCACCGATTTTTAATTTTGTGGGTAAGAGCCAACTCTTAATTTCTGCCTCCTTGGCAGCTGATGCATACTGAATCAGAATACAGATCTTCACTTTAATAAATAGCAACATCAATGAATCACGATACTTACTATCAATGTCCTTCCATGCAACTGATAGTTCTTTTTTGTAAGAATCCCTTCAGGTGCTATATTCTTTGCATTGAATGATATCAGCTTTCGCAGTTGGTTTGCTAACCACTGTGGGCTGAGTACAACAATTGTGCCATCAGTATTTGACTTACCTCTGTATCTGTGCACTATATCCCCCTGACTACTTAGGAACTGAGTGACATTATAGATTGACCTAATTGATGTAATACCTACGTTTGATGCAATTTCCTTATACTCATGGAATTCTAGTATTTAGATGGTTCTTTCAGTTCTTTTTGAATACAACTTTTCACGGAGTGCCATTTTTCTGGAATCCTAGGGTAAGTATCATTTATAATATCTAATGCAGTTTTATTAATTGATTCGTTCAGTTGGGAAATGCATGCATTTTCCCCTTTTACCTGTTCAGGAAAATCCTCAGTACCAGATACTTCATAATAACCAGTTATGTGAGGAACTATCAGGCTCATCTGGTGATTCATTCTTTTGTGTGATCCCGACTTAACAAATTTAACTGTTTTTTTTTGGAACCACTTCAACATATCCAGCATATCCTTCATACTTACTTTCCCTCTCACGATTCTTAACATACTGACATACTAAGCAATTCTCCAAATGGCTGTGTGCATGGTAATCAGTATGTCGCCTCTGAGCATTATCTAACAACCCACGAAACTGATACCATATTGTATTCAACATACCTGGAGTTAGTTTATCATTATCTGCATGAGTGCCTACCAGTGTGCATCGTGAATGTGGAGCAAACACATGAATTGTTTCAAGCCAGAGTGATGCCCGGCCTAGCAGACTGTCAGATGTTAGAAAATTTCCTGCATCAAATTTACTGAGGTCGAAAACAACAAGACAACTTGTGTCATCTGTCATGAATAATGAGTGAGATTCCAAGAAATCAACATCACCAGCAAAATAAAAACGCAACGTACATTTCTTTGTCAGCTCAAGCTCAGAAACTTCAATTCCATCAGTTTTCTCAACCTTGCTGATTGTTCCACCAAAGGCATTTACAAGAGTGGTCTTAGCAACACCTTCATGACCAACAAGTATTAGTTTAACTTTTTCATTAGGAATCATACTCTCATCATAGAAATCTTTCAAATAAGATAATATTGCATCCTTTCCTTCTTTTAAGACTTGCCTTGGTATATTACTGATAGGGCTTCTATCTACATTGAAATGTTTATATTCAGCCACTGTACTAAGAGATGGTGGTAGGCGTCTTATATTATTATCCTCAATATCAAAGCTTGACAACCCCTGAATCTTGCCAATATCCTCTGGTAGACGCGTGACTCCACTCTGCATAATATACAGAGAACAAATCCCTTTACTTGTTATCTCAAAATCACACTTTGAATTATCAGCTTTCTCAAACTTACACTTACGCATGCAAAGGGTTTGGATTGGGTTTTAGGATATTAATATGCCATGGTGCTGGTAGATCATTTAACTCAATACATGCTAACATTTTGGCATTTGGAGACAAAAATGAAATTACTTTGTTTGCACTAAATGATGCAACATTGATCAGTATCAAGCTTCTACTAACTGTTAATCTGTTGATTACTCCAATATCCATGTTACCCAAAATGAAGCTCTTTATCTTTCGATCTCTAAACAATTCAGTAGTCCTCTGAAACGCTTGTTGATCATTCACGATAAACACTGATATATCCCAGCCATCATCATATCTAGCATGGAGTTCTTTTTTTATCGATGACAGATATTTCTCTTTGGCAAACTTCCTCATCCTTCTCAAACACTACTCTCTGAAGAACTAAATCGTCACCAAAGAATTCCTAGAAAATGCATAAATGAGTATGTAATTTATTTTCACATATGGCATAACGTATTGTCTCATGAACATGTCAGATGACATATATTTTACTTGGTCAATCATGCTGTTTAATTTGACTGCCCCAGTATCTACAACAGTTACCATCTGTCAGGTAGTGTCTGGTGTGAATTAAAGCTAAAACCCTGCTCCATTACATTATTAGCCTCCACCCGGACAATGTCCAGGAAGGGGCTTGTAGTTTTGCCTTCGTACGTCACAGGTACCCAAGAAACTTAGCTTCTATATAGATATATGTGACAGGTACCCCAGAATTGCATATGATTAGGTTTAACTGTTGTACTTGCTAAATTTACATAGTTATACAATTGTACATTTGCAGACATGACTTTAGACACTGCATATTTTAAAATATAACTATGATATCAGCAACCCTTTTACAAAAATAGAATGTTCCACATTATCAATTACAATTGAGCAGCAAAAAAAAAAAACTCATCTTTTAAGCTGACATTGTGGAGTGTGAAGGGGATATGAACTACTTGCATGTATTTCTTCGAATTGATACAATACTTACCAGATAGATTTAAGCTATACGCGCGAGGTACCCAACAGAACGTGGGACCAATACTTGAGAGGTACCAAACAAATCCTCGGACATATACGCGGGAGGTACCAGACAGAAATGTAGGGATATGCAAATTAATACCCGATAGATAAGCGAATTTGCATGTCAAATATGTATACTCAATAAGTACGCAGGAAACTATACCCAAGAAGTACTCGAGAGATACGCAGCATATACGCGGGAACTATACAAGACAGAAGAAAAATTTTCATAAGGGTTGGTTCCCAGTCAGAAAATTAGTGATGACAGCGAGGAGAATACAGCCTCTCAGAACTTCCAGCAGTAAAACTATGGGCGAAATGTTTACTGCAAAAACATGATGGCGTAAGGTTACAAGTTGTAATAAGGTTGTCAAAAGGTCATTTCCAAAGGTCACGTTTAGTGGTAAAAAGTGGTTAGTTATAATATACGTATAGAGGTTGTAAATCTCACACAGAACTATATTTAGCTCAATTTATATGAAAGATTTATTTATTCAAAGTGGGACATAGAATTTTAACTGAAGCAGCGACTATACTTGGCATAACTTAATACTAGTACTTAATTTTGCCAACTAAAAATAAAACAAATTAAACTCACCTCTTCACTTTCACTGCTTTCAGATGTTGAATCAGCATCCTGTAGAGAAAGATAACATCTCATCTGTTATGCATATTATATATATTTGGTAAAAACTGTGTCACATACAATTGGTTGTAGTGCATACACTCATGAATGATGTCACTGAAACTGCTACATATATTTCATAATGTTCATCGGTTATGCAGAGTTGTACACCAGTCACCAGCTAGTTGTGCCACATGATTCAAAGGGGTTCTGAAGACAATCTGTTACTAGTATGCAAATGCTGATCTGAGAGCTCCAAGGTACTTCATATGAAAAGACTACTTCTTCAAAGTGGGACAGAGTATTTTTACTGGAGTAGTGACTATACCTGGCATTAATTAATACTTAATTTTGCCATCTAAAAATAAAACAAATTAAACTAACCTCTTCACTTTCACTCGTTATGGAATTAGGAAACAATTCAAATGGTGAATCAGCAACCTGTGGAGAGAGATAACATCGCATCTGTTGTGCATATTATATATATGTGGTAAAAACTTTGTCACATACAATCGGGTTGTAGTGCATACACTCATGAATGATGCATCTAAAACTGCTAAATATACAGTAAGACCTGTCAAAATCGACCATGACTGGGATCTATGGTTGGTTTTCAGAGGGAGTCAATGTATTCAGGGTGGGCGTGACTTCGATTGAAACAACAATTACGTGTACTGTAAACACGGCACAATTGAAAGACACCAGAGTTTGCCTCTGGTGAATATATTTACATTTATTGTATTGTTTCAATAATTTACCAAACAAGACAAGAATATTATTGTATGTACATAAAATTAATAAACATTCAAATAACTGTTCGAACTGAACGGGTTAGTACCATGTATCATAACTGAAGGCGTCCATTTTGAATGACATCACAACGTAAGCCACTGTCAAGTCACTGTCGTCGTGGGGGTCGATAATTTGACTGTCGTTGCAATTTATGTCATCGTTGTCTGTAGATTCATGATTTTCTTTGTCTGCAATACAATTCCCAACAATCTGTTACTGCCACTCGCCGTCATACGTTGCTTCAGTCGGTATACGTTCATCAAAGTGGAGGTATTCATCAATGTTACACTGTGTTTCCGGGTTTGCTAAATGAGGTTTCCGATTTCTTTGTTGTCTAGCTGCTAGCTGTCATCATCAATTGTAATCTTGAAGCCCTCTTTACGTTCGAAAGCACAAAATTATTGTTCAGAAACAAATTGTCATGGACATGTATCCTAACATGTATAAAGTATGTGTCAAATTCAAATGAAAACTGACAAAGCATGTCCAAGATACCACATTAAAAAACAAACAAGATACCTGCCAGTCGGCCATCTTTGATCCAATTGCGAAAGAAATTTCATGAACATGTATAATCTATGTACCAAGTTTTAATGAAAAACTGACAAAGCATGTCCAAAATACATTTTCAAAAATCAAGATGGCTGCCAGTCGGCCACATAAAGTAATACGCACATGCAAAGAATGAACAGAATCTGTCTGAGGATTCTAAAAATAAGACTCTGGACGGATGCACGGACGGTAAGATGACATGTATCCCAACATGTATAATCTATGCACCAAATGTGAATGAAAACTGACAAAGCATGTTCAAAATACGACATTTTCAAAAAACAGGATGGCTGCCAGTCGGCCATTTTGAATCAAATCGCCAAACAACTGCATGTGTATATGTGCCACATAAATTACTAGGCACATGCAAAGAATGAACAAAATCGGTCTGAAGGATTCTGAAATTTGACTCCGAATTATAAGTCCCCGTTTTCGGACTTCATTTGAACGGGGACTAAAAAGACAGAAATTGGGCAGTGATCAAAAATACAGGTCATGAACTTTGAAGTATTGCATGCTGTTATTTATTTGAAAATCATCTATACTACTGTAAGTACAACAAGTGAATTTCCTTACTGACTCCAATAGTGCACCCATTAAAAATAGTTCATCTTTTAAGAATATTAAGAGAAATGAAATCACTTACCCTATCCTGGATATCCAGAGCTGCTTTACTGTCTACCAACAATCTAGCAATCTCCGCTGTGCCACTCTCTGCACTGCTATGTAATGCAGTCAATCCATTCTGAATATCAAGAGAAATGAAATCATGAACAAACAAACCACATTCAGAGGTTTATTTTCAAACACTTCAGCACTCAGTTTGATTTTTCCTATAAAAAGGAAATGCATATATTGACATTACTATTTGAATGCAGTAAAGTTTTGTCACCTTCCACAAAATCAAGCTGCATAATTTTTTCACCAGAAACAAATTTAAACGTTTTGATCATAGCCTCTAGCAAATGTGAGATTGTGTCCATTTGGTTCAAAATAAACAAAAGAATTGTGAAATATTGTAAACAAATTGGGCTTATGACATTCAAAAGGTTAATAAATGAATGTTAGTTATTACAAGTATAGAAAACTTACCTCATCCTGGATATCCAGAGCTGCTTTACTTTCTACCAACAATCTAGCAATCTCCACTGTGCCATACTTTGCACTCATATGTAGTGCAGTATTTCCAAACTGATTATTAAGAGGAATGCAATCATAAAAAACAAACCGCATTCAGAGGTTTAATTTCAAATAATTCAGCACTCAGTTTGATTCTTTCTATGAAAAGGAAATGCATATATTGACATTACTATTTGAATGCTGAAGTGAAGTTTTGTCACCTTCCACAAAATCAAGCTGCATGATTGTTTCATGAAAACATCTCTAGAAAATGTGAGATAATGTCCATGTTGTTCGAAATGAACAAAAAAATACAAACAATTTTGGCAGGAAAAATTGCGTTCAAAGTAACGAATCAATTTTACCGTAGGTGCAACATCCCCCAAATCAGCCATTTGGTCAGCTAAATGTCGATGCAACATCACAAAAATCTGTTTTGAAAACACAGACAGTGCTGCACATTGTTTCAATTTTGGCATTTGTCAATGACGCGCGACCTAACCATCCAGTGATTCATGGTCGCAAAACAGAAAGGCACTGAAGGCCGACTTATAGGAGTATGCGGAGATGTTGCACCCAGTTTAGTACATATACAGAAGACTTACCTCATGCTAAATATCAAGAGTTGTTTTATTAAAATCACACGCATGAGTATGAACTGAATTACACCATAAACAAACAATTTGAAACCACATTGAAAAATCTAGTTCCCAACACGCATTTATGAATATGATAAACACTGCTCATCCTGTACACAAAATAAAATGTTCGGACATATACAGAACCTGTGTAAATATAGCCAGTACACTGTAGCCTCGTTATAACAAACTATTTGGGGGACATAGAATTAGTTTGTTATAGTGAAATGCTCACTATAATGAAGTACATAATACATTGGGTTTGTTGTGAGCGGGAGACACGCTATGTGTTCATTATATCAGGAAATTCATTATAACGGTGTTCATTATATTGAGGTTACAGTGTATATGTTTGAGTTTTATAATAGTCTAGTTTTTTGTTACAAGTGAATGTGATTCAACATTCTAAACAATAATCAGAAATTTCTGTTTTCGTACTTAAAATCTTTTCAATTTTTGGTTGTCTATAAAATGTGGAACCAGAACTAGAATTACATAACTGGAATATTAAATATTATTAGGTTTTGATCTTAGGTTGAACATACGTTAATCTTAGTGCCAAGACATGTTTAATTAAATTGAAATCTTGTTTAGGTTCAATTCCTAGTAGGATTACTTCCATTTAGAAGTTGAATGGATTTGTAATTAATTTGCACTTCTGAATGCGCTTGTGCCTGTAAGTGGCTAACCATTATTAAGTCTGGAGATAAAATTGGATTTTTTTTTTGAAAAAAAAGCACTTCAATCATGGAAAAATACAGTGACAATATAGTAGTATTGTGACACGATTTCACAGGGATTAATGCAACTTTTGTCAGTCACATTTTAAAGACAATAACTATATGTGCAGTAAAAATGCGGAAAATTTAGGTGCACTCGATATCCATCTTCTGATTGAAAACAAAGAAGAAATCAAAAGAAAGAGTACCCGATTTTTTCCCATGAAAACCTATTTTAACATACCATTCAACGCCAAATACAACTCGTGTTCATAAATTACCCCAAAGTAACCTCAGCACTTTTATTGCACAACTAACCAGTCACAAGCAATAGCCGGAAATGGCCGTGTCAAAGGTGTGTTAACTCTAATAGTTGAAGTTTTCAAGAGCGTACAAAAAATTGCACACATTTGAAGAGAGAGAAATATTCACAGCAGCAGCATTCTTGGATAACATTTAGCTCAAAACTGTTCGAATGAACAAAAGTTTCTAATGGTCAATCCATAAACATACCATGTCACAAAATGTTGTTATGTAAACAAAGTATTCCCCTAAATCTTCAAATATAAATACAGACAGATTACGAACATATAAACACGCACACACACTAGACTCGAGCTCACGACCACGGCAGAGCATTTTCAGAAGACGCGCGCCTTAGTACGCTTCATTACAAACAAACTGACCATTAAAAAGTTGTAATATGAATGAAAACATATATGTTAAAAAACTGTTGTTCGTTACTGTAATATGATAACTGAATTAAAATGTCCTGTAAAATAAAACATAATTTTTTTACAACACGCGCAACAGTATTCTTCGATGACACTAAAGCACTATTACGCATGTGCAGTGATTGTTATTGTGCGCACGAGGACAATCTGTGCACATGCGTATCAGAGATGACACACTTTTAGTTCGTGATTAATCATCAGCAACATAGAGTTTTTAACAGAATGTCATCTTATACTGTATTTTAAGTGTACCATATCAACTATATGTCTAAATCACGCACCTTATTCTGTTCATCAACACGACCAGCTGCTACATAATTTCTAATGTCGTCCAGATTTCCACCCATAACAATCTTTGAAATGAAAAAAATTACATTACTTTTCAAAAATGTAAGTGGTCAATCATTATTAAGTATGGAGATGAGATTGGAAATCTTTGTTTTTCACTGATCAATGAAAACACATTTGAATCATAGGAAAAATACAGTGGCAATGTAGTAGTATTACGACACACAAAAATACACAATTTCACAGGAATTAATGCAACTTTTGCAACTAACAATTGACTACATAATTTATAATGTCGTCAAGATTTTTACCACGAACAATCTTTGAAATGAAAAAAAATGACATTACTTTTTGAGTCAGTGAACACCAACAAACACGAAACTAAGTGTCGGCTTGTAAAATTGTTATCGGCTATAAACTGCTATACAAAATAAAGAAGGAAGTTAGTTAATTTTAAAATTTATAATATCAAATATATTTGATTTTATTGATACAAAACTGGCTCAGAATCCTTTAAAACACATACTGTTTTCCTACGTTCGGTACTCTGATAGCATGATCCAATAATAATGGAAATATGGCATAGAATCTTTAATTTGATTATTGACTCGCATCACTTCGAAAAAAATAATAGCACTGATGTGAGATTATGCGTGTCTGAAGTGCATGTTTGAGTCACAACCGACTTAAAATCGTTATAGATTTATTTCGTTATTTCTTGGCATTCTCGTTATTTTGGATGTAACTATATTTCCCCTCTATCCACAGAATCCCCACGAGACCAAACAATGAATACAAATACTACAGTAACCACCATTTTGGACTAGGCAGAATGGTTGTTTCGCTTCGCTCACAAGCAGCCGGTCGGCTGGGATAGCTCCGCTGTAACAATGCACATTTCAATTAATAAAAACTGAAGATATCATTAGAAAATGGACAATAGGTATAGTATCAAAGCAATCAACTTTGCTGTTTTCAACAATAATTTAAAAATATAACTTTTTACCAAAAATGACAAAAATATTCACCATAATTAGAGAATTGAAGATATCATCATGAAATGAACATATCTAAGAGAGGTCTATCCAAGGTACATATACACCAACTATCAAAGCATTCAGACTTGTAGTTTCCAAGAAGAAGTCAAAAAAGTAAAACGTTGATGCTGACGCTGACGCTGACGGCCGACGGACAATCACTCATATGATAAGCTCCGCTCGACAGCGGAGCTAAAATCACATTTTTATCAGATAAAAATGTTTCAAAATAAAACAAACATTGCTGATATTGATATTTATTAGTCGTGTCCAGGCGACGCCAAGTACAGGCAGAGATTTAGTTTTAATAAGTTTTCATATCGACTAAACCCATTTAGGTTAACACCTAAACTTGTTATGAATATACAATTCTGTAGTCTTTCGAATTATGCGAATTCGTATAGTCCAGATTGCAGAAAGTGCTCATCGTCAGTTTATTTTAATTTCTCCCCAATAATGTCTCTGGGTGTGCTCTCGTTCATTGTTATGTCGGAAATGAATATAGTAGGAAATCTTCCAAATGATAATTGTATACAACGGTATTTTGGACGCTTAGCCCGAGCTAAGAATATGGGCGTTGTTTCTAAAATATGGGCGTGGTCCAATCTGACTTAATATATTTCATTTGTACTACATATTATTATTATTATTATTATTTATTTTTATTATTATTACGTGCATCTAATGTTCTACATGTATTACTTTAACTATCATCACATACATGTACCTTGTGTGTTTTTGCGATTACCAAAACTTTTAGAATACCGACAGCAAATAAATGATGAGTTCAAGAACGTGTATGAAAATTAAATAATAAATAAAAGATATTTGAAAAAAATAAAGCACAAATTATGATTTTATTTTAATCAGATTTTTGTAACTCGGTAACAGAAAAAAAACGGAATCATTGCATCTACTTTCTGCATAAAATCGGTCAAAGCATGTACTGTTAAGAACGTATGGAAATAAAACCAACATGGCCGACAGTTGGCAAACACACTGATGTGCATCAGTGTATCGATGCGTGTCTAAGACAGGGTTCATGACATGTTCAAATTTTGGAATTTTTTTATGAAAATCAGTTAAATTTTATGGGGTCACCATACACGCCTACATCCTAGCGACTTTGTGATGTTTAGGTCGTATATGATGTCCTCTAATGGAAAAAAATATGTTAACATTGAACAAGTTGAAATGACTCACAGGTCATTTGAGGCAAAACAATGACGCAATTGTCTTCAATAACGAAAACGGCAAACATTACAAGGTCTACGCATTGTTTCAATACAACCGTACCTTTTTTTCTGTAATTTTGGTATTCTTTGGTTAGCCTACCGCTGATTTGTATAATTTACTAATTTAAAAAAAAATGGCGTAATCGTCGTCTTCGGTTGATATATTCAGTAATATTAGTTTTAACAAATTTGATTTGATTGACACTACAGCGCAAATATATTTGATCATGGCTTAGTTTGTATAAATAACGATGGATTTAAATCGTTACTCGATTTGTACAATATCCATATTGAGAAAGATATCCTAAGAGCAGATGTAGTTGAATAGATGAATAATTAACGGTTGGCCCGAACGCACGGAAACGGTTGGAGGCGTGGCCTGTTCAAAATGTGTCAACAACCAATCATAGACTGGTTACAAGGTTACGACTCGTTTGGCCTCACTCAACTGGTTCGTAACCAGTCTTGTGATTGGTTCATGACAAAATATTGGTTAGTGAGTGAAATATGAATGTCATAAATAATTCAATTTTTGAAACAACAGAAACTAACACATAATAACGATAATCAAATTTGTGTTTGAAGTTCGAAAGTACTTGCGTAATTTCCGGTTTCAACTAGTTCGAAAATAGAACGTCCTTGAACGCGATAAAATCGCGCGTGGAACGCCTTCCGAAACAGACACTAGCAGCGTAAACTAATATTGCAAATTTATACAATTTGGGCCCAGTTTATTCTTACAAGTTTTCTAAGTTTCATTTATCATTATTTAGTTAACAGGCCCATGACACGATTTAATATTTCTGTAAAATACGTGACAAACGACGACTGACTTAGAAACGTTCGACATTTCGAACCAACTCGCAGCACACCTTGCGCGATATGCGTCAGATCGGCAAAGAAGACGCCGACCTGCAGCGTCAATGCGTCTCCGGTCTCTGTGTTTTCCTTCTTCGGATGTCTTCCGAACCAACCCGAAATTGGTCTGGTAGCGGTTACGTCATTATATAAGAACACACCAGGTGATAGTGATATAAACACCGCGGTCATTGTAATATTTTGTCTACTGGGTGTTTGTAGTCGGTATAAAGATTCACTTCAACCGGACTACATTGCACTAAGGTGCACTAAGGTGACTCTCAAACTTGTTAGTACAGTTCCTCGCCGTCGTTGGCCCCATGACGTGACGCTCTACCTCCCTACTCCTGTCAGGGGCGGATACAGGATTTTTTATGGGGGGGGGGCAAACTTTAAAATCGCCAGACTAAGTTAATGATTTGTTTATATTATACAAAAACAAATTGGATGAATTTGTCAAGGGGGGGGGGGTTGTGGTCCGACCTCCCCTAGATCCGCCACTGCATGTGAGTACTCAACGATCGTGGTTAAATAAAAATCCCCTGTACACAATCACGTCAATCAAACACAGTCAGTCAGTCAAGAATTTGAAATAAATATTACCTCTTCTATTGATTTTTCCCAGTTCTCCGGTCGCACATGTGAATCGTTTATACTGCGTCCACTGAAAATAAGAACAGATTTCAGAAGATTTCAACGATTGCTGAAATAACTAAATTAGATTTATTACAGTTTGAATGTTTTAATTCATTTTTTCTTAGTTGTGATTTCCAGCCATTCTAACCTGTGCCTAGTGGTATCAAAAATGACCTCGTTCTAAAAATTGTACGTGAATCCATAATTGAGTTATAAATGAAAGGTCACTCCCGAAATTACTGTTTCTATGTCAATCAGACACACATGACATTTAAACCTGGGCATTTTATTAAAATCTGTGCATAATTTTTTCAGTTATGAATGTAAAATATCCAAAATTGTTGTTTCTATAGTAACAATATCTGATTCTTCGCTCATCGCCTGCTGTATGGGCTCTAGATATAACAACATTGCTTTGACGGTGGACTTTTATTTCGTTCTCAGGTCCCAAGTAAAAAGCTTGTAAATGCATGGTCACTAATCAATTCATGAAAGTGAACAAGAAAACGGATAGAAACAATAATAAAAGTTAAAGTGCTGTTTCTGACCAAAAATATCCTTAACTTCTCGCGACCGCAAACAGATGGCATGCAAGTCGCATTATAAGAGCCTAAAAACAGGTTTTACGACTAGTATCCGTGTGTACAAGGAACAGTTCAAAGTTCGCTGCATACTTGGATGCAATATATTCGGTAAAAACAAGCGAGGCTAGTCAAAGCTTGGTTTTGTGGGCAACGTTGGCATGTACTACTGTTTCTTCTGTATACATTATTTACTGACAGTTAAAGTGCGGCTCGAAGATGTTAGTTACAACGAGCGTAAAATAGTTGTACACACCAAACCTCAGCGCCTTACTTGAACACAAGTAACCTGTAGAATGCTGTGTGGGTAATATTTTTATAGTGATTTTCGTTGCATTTGCAGCAAATAGTTACCAAACAATGAGAAATCTATAGGATTGAATATACCTCTCAGCTGGCTTCACATGCATAGTTCAAGCCTGTCTAACCGGTGCTTATACCTAGATTTAGTTACGGCACCTAGACGGTCTGTGGTTACAGCTTCATGTTCCGAGTCATCGCAAGAAATTGACATTACAATAGAAAATGCAATTAATAGCAAGTAAAATTCCTGGGATTGCAACATAGATTTTGAAGTCACTGATGTAGGCATTGAATAACTTCAAGTTGGCATAAAGACGAGGTAGTTTATTTAATCAGTGCTGAACTAGAGGCTGAAATTATAATTAAGTTCGTTGTCATATAATTTGTTTATTTCAATTTCTCCTGATTTCAAATAGAATACACTGGTGAAAGGATGTTTTGGGGGTGTAATTTACATTGTGTATGGAGTGGTAGGGTTGGGTGTCATATAATTTGTTCATTTCCAACTCTTATGAACTCACTTAATTTATTTTCGATGAAAAGTTTTCAAGCATTACGTGTGAATCCAAGTTTTAATGTGCTGTGTCAAGTCTCAATAGAGTCTGAGGGAATGTCATTTTCACTGGAATTTATTTTAACGGGAAAATGTTCACAGTGAAAGGAAGTATTCAACATTGTTACATGTATACTGCAGTTTATTTTGATTCGTCCCTGAAATCAAAATCGGTATTTCCACACTCCATATGCAAATGAGACCTGAGAGCAAATAGAGTAGTCTGTTCAGGAGTAGCGTTTTTCGAACATAACAGAAATAAACAATATTTAGAAGTACGATATTTTACCCTTGGGGTACATGAATACTTGCAGAGTGAAATGAAATTTGAACAACAGTAATGGTACTTCTAAGCAGTCACTTATTTTGACTAAAACTAATTTGCATATCACCCATGCAATGATGTTTTTGATATTTTCACGATCAATATGCAAATGACATGGTATTGGCGATCTACTCCACTATGATTGCCCTTAAAATCACTTTAATTTTGTGTATCTGTGTGTGTGATTTTTAGTGTTTTCACGTATTAATTCTTCAGTGATTTTTTTGGTTTGGCCGATTTCGCTTAAACTTGGCAGGTAGGTCACACCTTCACTCTAGTTATTAGGAAAAATCAGAAAAAAATGCCCACCGTTGCCACAGCAACAACCACAAAACTGATTTTGGGATAGCTTCGCGCTAAATGTATCTCCTACAAATTTTGGATACAACACCTCAGACCTAGCTAATTTTACTCAGCTTGAATATGGGCACAAAGTTACTATTTGTAAAATCTAAAAACAAATTCTGACCACCGTTTTCATGGAAACAGCCAAAAACTGATTTGAATATCTTCACGCCAAATGTATCACACCCTACATTTCTATGATTAAAAATCATGAACGTAGCTCATTCTACTCAGCCTGAGTGTGGGCAACAATTTACTGTTTTATGTCTATTTTTATTACTGAGAAGATTGACCCCAACGTTGGGGTAACTTTTCACTAGCAACGGCTTTTAACTTCTCTGAGATTTTTTTGGGCTTGGCTAATTTTGTTAATACTTAACAGGCAAGTTGTACCGTCACTAATTGGAAAAAAAAAACAATCCTGGCCCACAGCTGCCATGGCAACAGCAAAAAACTGTTTTTTGAATACTTTCGCCCCAAATTTATTACCTCTCACCTGTCTTGTAATCATGCCTTTTATTTTGGCTACGTTGCACACCGGTAAGAGACCACCGACGCCGACATTGTTACACTGTATCAACGTAATCTCAACGCACTTTGAACTTTGAATGAAATGTAAATGCTGCTTCCAATCTAGAAAATACTATCGAAAAACGGTTGCATTTAACGGCAGAATACGTCCTAGCAATAAAATAAAATTGCTAACGACTTAATGTTTTTTTGCGAACTTCGTATACGGTGCCCGGTTTTAGTTATAAACCGACGTTACCTTCACGTTCATGTCCTGCCATTGCAACAACCAAAAACATATTGCTTGTTTTCTGAGCGGAGCGGATCGCGAACCAGCCTACCAGCTTGTTTTCATTGGCAAACTCGTTCGGCAAAATTGTTGGCATATTAGGTGTACATCACATGGAATACTATGATTGAGAGAACTTGATGTATTTTGCGTTTTATACAATCCGAAGTCTCTTGGAAGATCCACTGCAGTAAAATTAGCGATTGCCATGGAGGGCACAACCATCAATAACAAAATACCAGGAGGTTTCTGCTGGCGACGTTGTGACGTTACCCAGTTCCAAAAAAGATTACCTACGCCAAATGAGCAACATTTCAACCGGTAATCAAGATTCATTCAATCCACGGCTAACGAGCAACACAGTCAGTGGAGTACCGCAGTAGCACGGCATGTTTGCCTTCACCATTGTATTCAAATGATCACGTGGTGTGCCGTTCTCATTCAAACCCGGGATTAGGGGAGTTTCAGTGAAAATAATATCACAAATCATGCAAATTCAACATTTTCAAACCAGTATACTAAAACAGAAAGGCTTAGAGATGCAAAAGAAGGATAGATGTTACTTTTCAGTATACACCGCTCTGTTGATACTATCCCTCACATATTCTACTTCCAATTATTCCTGCGTAAAATGGACGAGCCTCTTTTCATGTTGACATTCAGAGTAAGATCACGTGACAGGCTGTTAAAATTGGCTGTTGCATACTCTTTCGCCGGTCTGGAAAATGTGTTTAATTAGCTCTCATACAAGCAACAATGCAGATTTCCCAGTGGGAGTGAAACTATTCGACTCTGCCATTAAAAAATAGGGATGTTTTCAGCAAAAAACGAAAACTCTGGAGTGCACACAACACACTGAATTTCGGAAAAAATCTTGCATTATTTACAGCAGCAGAATCCCACAGAAATATCAGACGAAACATGAAAAACTTGGTATCACCCACCCCTGAAAACAAACGCTTAATACCACGATGAAGCGTTTGGTAATAATATCAATAATTTAAAAAAATTTGGGAATTCCATTAAATGTACATAGTATATGTTCGGATAATAAGTTTACTAACAAGGTTTATCATTTTCATAAAACCTTCAAAATATAATTAATTTGTTAAGTTAAAGAGCATAAGTATACATGAGATAATAAAGTGTCCGATAACAACAATGAATAAAACATTTGACTGAACACTCACAAGCTAATAATAAATAAAGATGTCTGCAACCTGTCTGATTGAATCATGGGTGTTTTGGTCCCAAAAATGTACCACTTAAAAAAATTAAATGAAACGTTGTGTACTTCAATTAAGTCCTGTGAGACAACCCAGTTTTGAAAAACAGTAAATGGTCATT